GGAGGAGGAGGAGGAAGAGAAGAAAAGGAGAAGGCGGAGAGGAGGAGAAGGAGGAAGACATGGAAGGAGAAGGAAGAGGAGAGGAGGAGCAGGAGGAGGAGCAGGAGGAGGAGCAGCAGGAGGAGGAGGAGCAGGAGGAGGAGGAGGAAGAGAAGGAGGAGGGGGAGGATTCAGGTAGGCAAGCTGGATATTAGAAACCGATGCGTCCATAGGAGGGCCCACCGGCCAGAAGCTTTTCAAAGGAATTTGGAGAAAACAAACACCTGGAGACTTCAGACAGCAGAGGAAACATCTGCCTGTCAGCTAGGACTGTGAAGTCCGCTCTTCAGGATGGCTAAGCTGCTATACAAAACATCCCCTACGCAGTTCATTGTCCTCGTGACCGGTCAGCTGTCAGGATGGCACGGCCCGGGTGTGGCAAAAGAGATGCTGCCCGGCGCTCTCTCGCGCTTCTCCATGCTCGGAGCACAGAGGGATCACCCCAGGAGAGTCCCTTTGACCCAAGGCCCCCTCTTAAGGCCACGGCTCTCCTCTTCTTCTAGAACGTGTTCTTGATCTTGGCGGCCACCAGCATCAGGATCTCGCCAATCTTGCTCTGCCAGTTGCTGATGTCCTTGGAGACCTCACACCACAGCTCCCCGTGCCGGGGCTCGGCATTTTCACAGCGCTTCCTCGCCTCTTCCTGCTGTTCCTGCATCGGGATGGAAGGGGGGGGGGGAGGGGGGGGGGCAAAGCTTGCTTTAACCGTGTAGGGTTTTAAATTTGCCTTGTCGTATTTTTACCCTGCCTTTATTACTGGGTGGATAATGTCAGGTGATATCAAGGGGGTAAATATACCTTCCTCCTAGCTATTCCACAACAACCCTGTGAGGTAGGTTGGGCTGTGGGAGAGTGACTGGCTAGACACCCAGCTGGCTTCCATGCCTAAGGTGGGATTAGAACTCACGGTCACCTGAGGGGATTGGCCCAAAGTCACCCGACTAGCATTCATGACTAAAGTGGGACTAGAACTCCCGGTGTCCCGGCCAATGACGCAAGGTACGGAGTAACTTCCATGCCTAAGGCAGGACTAGAACTCACCACCTCCTGGTGATTGGCCCAAAGCCACCTTAGCCTACTCTCCCCAATTAGCCAAGTCTCTCCATTAAGTCCCCGTTTCAGTTGTGCCATCTTTTCTTTTACCTCGGTGCCGTGCTGGAGCTCAAATTTATAAAAGAACGCCCAAGCGTCCCCCAGGTCAGAATCGATCTTCACGGTCCGATGGAACCATTCCCGAGCCTTGGTTATTTTGCGTTCGCTCCAGAACAACCTGAAAGAGGAGGTGGAAGAAGGGGAGACAAACCAAGGAGACCAGGAACGTCTTTCTGGTCAAAACAAGAGTCTGGAGGAGGAGGACTGTTTGACCGCGATGCTACAAGGTCCACTTGCCTTGACTCAAAAATCGGCAGAGATTCTCACTTTTAGCTACACCATTTGGGATGAACAGCCTTGGAATGGTGTGGGAAGAGGGATGGATTTCCAGAGGGAAAATGGCAAACCACGGGAACAAGGAGAACCATTCAGTTGACCCTGAGGACGCAGAAAAACCTCCAAGTGGCCTCAACGACCCTCTAAAAGGATGCAAATGACCAGCTGTCTACAAGGAATATAAATCCTTCTCTTTCCCCATCCTCCTGTTAGAGCTGAAGAAGCTTCTTGGATGAAAAGCAAAACATCTTCCAAAAAAAAAAGTCCAGTTGCCTCTTGAAAAAAAAGCATCCTGAGGACACAGGTAAACACCCTCTAAAAGGATGCAAATCCTTCCATTTCCCCACCACTCAGTCAGAGCTGAAGAAGCTTCTTGGATAAGGAGCGAAACATCTTCAAAAGAAAAAACAAAAACAAAGGAAGTCCAGTTGCCTCTTGAAAAAAGCACCTTTGGGACAAGGGGTTGGGCTAGAAGACCTCCAAGGACCCTTCCAGCCCTCATATTCTATGGATAGTGGAACCCCATAGGCTTAAAACCATTCATTTAACAACTGTTCAGAGCCCTGAAAATAGTGACCTTGTGTTCAGATCCTCCATCATAGCATCCCCGCCCAGGGGTGGGATGCTACTGGTTCTGACCGGTTCTATAGAACCCCTTAACTTTCTAAGCAGTTCAGAGAAGTGACTTATGACCATTTTTCACACTTATGACCATTGCAGCATCCCCACTGTCATGAGAGGCCAGGCAACAAGCACCCCTCGACATGAGTGATGTCGAGTTGGCCACATCCACCCAGCCACATGACCACCAAGCCACAGCCACCAACTAAGCCACAGAACCGGTGGTTAAAAAAATGAATTCCCCCCCCCTCCATCCCCCCACCCGTCACGCAATCAAAATTCCGGTGTTTGGCAACCAGCATATATTTATAAGACAATTGCAGCATCCCAGGATCCTGTGAAAATTGCCACAGGCCGGCTTCTGGCAAGCAAAGCCAACGCGAGAAGCCGGATTTGCTGAACTGTACGATTCACTGAACCACCACAGTGATTTCGCTTAACGACCGTGGCTAAAAAAGAATTTGTAAAATTGGGCACAATTAACAGCCACCGTGCTAGGCCGCAGGAAATTCTGGTCCCCATTTTGTTTGTTAAGTTAATCGACGCAAAGCTGATAAATATATAAATGAATTCATTCTCTGGTACAGCATTGTGTGATGACCCGGGGCGTGACACAAAAATAACCAAGTCACCAAAGTATAATAAATTCCCTTTAATGCCTCCAAACTTGGCCCCCAAGGTCCAGTTATCCTCGTCTGGAGATCAAACTCTTCCAAAAACAGTCTACAAAGGGAAGAAATGCAGTCTGAACTCAAAGTAAAGATAATTAGAAATTTAAAAAACTAACACAAAACCACGCTGAAGTAATTAACACGACAGGCCAGGATGATAAATTGCAGACTTTCAAAGGATAACGCAGAGGACGCCAAAACCCAGATAGGGCTCGGCCAAAATAATGCACGCTTTGCTTCCAGCAAGGAGCCGTGTGCAAACGCCCAACTTATATCCTGTTCTCCCAGCTGCAACCAATGAAGGGATTCAGGGCCTTTTCCTCTCCCGTAAGCCACATTGCTCCCTTCTCCATTCCTCCCTGCGTGCCCTAGGATGAAGAGGGGGTGGGCCTGGGTCTGAACGCCCAGCTGGACTGTGCCCTTCCCCCTTTCTTCCACAGCCACCAGAGCCACATTCCCACTCCCTGTCAGCTGCTCAATCTCCCCCTCAGAATCAGACTCCAACAAGGGCATGACACCGTTGCCTCTAAATGGGGAAATTTAACCGAAGCACCGCCGAAGACTCTCACCACAATGGAGAAAAGCCACCAGAACGTGGGCTGAATTCTCAACGTCCAGCTTTCCCTGCTGGTTATACGCATTCTGAAATATTCCTTCTAAAAGAAATCCCTCACGTCAGAACAGCTGCCTCTGTGCTTCTGCATCGCGGCACAGGGGTTCCATCCACGCCCAGGGAGTTCCAGTTCTTGACATTTACTAAAAAGGCTACCTGGCAGATCAGGCTGTTCCACTGGGCATGTTTATGGTCTAGTAAACACGATTGGGGGCAGAGGACTTGATTGGGGGCAGAGGACTTGTTCCTTCAATTGCCTAAAGCGGGGGTGGAGGAGGAGGTTATTTGCGAAGTGGGTAGGCCTTGGAAGCGAGAGGTTGCCAAAAACTATTTACAAGGCTTGTGCTTAAGACAGAACCAAGCAAAGTTTATTTGTCGGTGCAAGAAGAAGAGAATCTTACTTTATTTTATTTTACTTTGTTTTAATCTCACTTGTGCTACTTTATAAATATTATTTATAAATATTAGGCAGCAAGCATATCTAATACTTCCTCCTCCTCCTCCTCCTCTTTTTCTTCACAATAACAACCTTGTGAGGTGGGTTGGGTTGAGAGAAAAATGAGTCTCGCCTAGCCGGCTTTCATGCCTAAGGTGGGACTAGAACTCATTCTCTCCTGGTAATTGGTCCAAAGTCACCCAGTCAGCTTTCCTATTTAAGGCAGGACTAGAACTCTCCATCTCCTGGTGAGTAGCACCAAAGTCACCCAGCTGGCTTTCATGTTTAAAGTGGCACCGGAACTCACTCCTGGTGATTGGCCCAAAGTCACCCAGCCGACTTTCATGCTCAAGGCAGCAGCAGCAGCAGCAACTTCTCCTCTTCCACTCCACAAAGACCCTTCCCTTCTATCACTGATGATGTTACCTAGCTGGTTAAGGAAAGCAAGAAAACGTCCAAACGTCAGGGAGCATCTAGGACCCCATGGAGCGAGATTCTGGGTGAAACAACATCACCCAGTAACAGGCCAAACGGCGGGACAATTGGCTGAGGATGACTTGGCAGCAGGAAGGATGTTTGGAAGAAAGAGACAGGCGCCTACTTTATTGTGTTGGAAAGGGTTGCTACCTCTTGTCAATGGCTTTCGGGAGGGGTCCTTCGTGTTGTCTGAGCTTGCTTCTTTTCTTGCAGACGTTTCATCACCCAAATTATGTCACATCATCAGTGCTAGAAGGGAGGGAGGTTTGCAGCCAGGAGGAGAGGGGGGGGGAGGACGACAACAATAATAACTCCCCTTTGGGGCTGCATGAATAGTCTCTTTGCACAGTCTGTAGATGTTGTTAATGTCTATTATAAAGACTCCAGCACCTTCTCCACCAGCGATCAGCCCCCAGATCAGCATAGATCAACTTCAAGGTCAACTTCAGATCAACCACCAAATAAGCAACACCCCAATCAAGAAACTGCCAAATAAGCCAACAGCCCAACCAAAGAACCTCTTAAGACTGCCCTCACCCAACACAGACTGGCAAGACATCAAAACATAAACAGACAGCAGATATTAACTTCTTTACTAGCACTGATGAGGTTCCCTAGTTGGGTCATGAAAGGTCCACAAGAAAACAATCGAGCTTGGAGAGCACCAAGGACCCAAGGGTCAACTCGTAAAGCATCCCTGGCTTGCTCTTGAGTTGCCATAGGCGGGGAAGGGGGGGGGGAGAACTGGTGGAGAAGCTTGGTTGCTATGGCCAGAAGCATATTCCACACATACCTTTCTCCAGATTGTATCCCAGGTTACTAGAGCAAGCCGGAGAGGTGTGTTTGCAAAAGTGCTCCAGTTGGAGAATGTGATTTATGACACACCCTGCGAGGAGTGGGGAAACAGGGTCATAGGTGGGCAGTAAATTACGTGAGGCAGGGCTGGCTGCATTTGGGAAAGGGCCGACACCTTGCTCTTAATCAATAATTGGATTTCTTTTTGAAACTTGGCTCGAGGCTCATGAATTCATTAGGGCGTCCCTGGGACACCCTGACACCAAGGATGTCAACCCTGAGATACAAATATTCTCCTTTATTGATGGCTTTCAGGGTAGAGATGGAGAAACAATGCCCAGCCACCCTGGGATTTTCCTCCAGTCAATCTGGGCCGGGAGGAGAATTGGAGAGCACACTGAGTGCTCCTTTGCTCATTAAAATAATGGGAAAAGGACCATGCGTGCTGTTCAGATGTCAGGGATGGTAGCGGAAAGGACTCCCTGGCAGGGCCAAGGACCCCACAGCACGTTCCCTAATGTTTCCCAGTCGAACGAAAAGGACTAAAAGATCCACTCAGGCTTAATTGCAAGAAGAAGAAAAAAAAATCTGCTTTGAGACAACAGAAATACAGGACAGTGCCTTTTGTTGGTTTTATTCCCTCAGCAAAGAACATAGAATAAATAGGGTTTAAAGGGACCTTGGAGGTCTTCTAGTCCAATCCCTTGAAGGGGAGGGGGAAAAAACCCTTCCCTCCTATTGAAGCTTTCCTGAGCTGCCTTTTAATAAAAGGTGTTACCCAAAAGATGGCTTGATTCCCTCTCTCGAAATAATCCACCCCACCTCTTCCTTCCTTCCCTGCAGCATTTCCCCTTCGAAGGGTTACCTCGTGTGCATTATTATTTTATTTCTTTTTCATCTACAGAAAAGGAAGAAGCAAGGATGGGTACGAGGGACCAAGGGCCTGTGTGCGTGATTTTCCCTTTTGTCTTCAAAATAGCAAAACAACCTTTTTATCTCTTCCTCGCCCCGCAAACTCCGTTCCTTCCTAACCATGTTAGTACAGAGAAAAGTGAAATCAAAATGGCTGTTGAGGAATAGTGAAAACGGCAAAAGAGAGGTGTGAAATTACCCCTTGCTTACTTGCATCTATTACAGGGTCTCTCCACCTTGACAATTGGAAGAGATGTGGACTTCAACTCCCAGAATTCCCCAGCCAGCTGGCTGGGGAATTCTGGGAGTTGAAGTCCACACCTCTTCAAGCTATCAAGGTTGAGAGATAGTAAAATGGTCCAGCCAGTTGCACGGTGCAGGAAAGCTGGGGAATTCTGGGAATTGAAGTCTACACATCTTTAAGTTACCAAGGTTGAGAAACACTAAAGCAAGGGTCTTCAGACTTGGCAAATCAGATAACAGAAAATCAGACTTGGAAGGGACCTTGTAGGTCATCTAATCCACCCCCCCCCCCCCCCCCATCCAAGCAGACTCTACACCATTTCTGACAGACGGCAGTCCAATCTCTTCTTGAAAGTCTCAAGTGATGGCGCTCCCACAACTTCCGAGGACAAGCTGTTCCATGGGTTAATTGTTTTCACTGTCAGAAAGTTTCTCCTTATTTCCAGGTTGAATCTCTCCTGATTCAGTTTCCATCCATTATTCCTTGTCTGGCCTATAGGCACTTTAGAAAATAGCTTGACCCCTTCCTCCTCTCTGTGGCAGCCCCTCAGATATTGGAAGACTGCTATCACGTTTCCCCTGGTCCTTCTCTTCACTAGGCTAGCCAAGTCCAGTTCCTGTAACCGTTCTTCATATGTTTTAGTCTCCAATCCCCTAATCATCCTAATTGCTCTTCTCTGTACTTTTTCCAGAGTCTCAACATCTTTTTTTATAATGTGGTGACCAAAACTGGATGCAGTACTCTAGGTGTGTCCTTACTAAGGCTTTATAGAGTGGTATTAGTACTTCCCTTGATCTTGACCCTCTGTTAATGCAACTTAGGATTGCATTGGCTTTTTTTGGCTGCTGCTGCCACACTGCTGGCTCCTATTTAGCTGGTTGTCCACTAAGACTCCAAGATCCCTCTCACAATTACTGCTATTGAGCCTGGTTTCCCCCAGTCTATATGTGTCCTTTGGGTTTTTCTTGTCTAAGTGTAGGACTTTCCTTTTCTCTACACTGAATTTCATTTTGTTAGATACGGCCCAGTGTTCTAGTCTGTCAAGATCCATCTGAATCTTGAGCCTATCTTCTTGGGTGTTAGCTATTCCTGCCAGCTTAGTATCATCTGCAAATTTGGTAAGTTCTCCGTCTATTCCCTCATCTAAGTCGTTTATGAAGACACTGAAGAGTACTTGGCCTAAGACGGAACCTTGGTGGCATCCCGCTGTTTACTTTCCTCCACGTCTAAGACTTGTGGACTTCAACTCCCAGCATTCCTGAGCTAACATGACTGGAGGAGGAATTCTGGGAGTTTGAAGTCCACAAGTCTTAAAGCTGCCAAGTTTGAAGACCCCTGCGCTAAAGTGATCCAGCCAGCTGTGCAGGAAAACTGGGAGTTGAGGAATTCTGGGAGTTGAAGTCCACCCACCTTTAAACCGCCAAGATTGCATAACACTGGCCTAGGTCCTCAGCCTTTAGCAAATATTCCTTTCTGATCTTTTTTCTGATCTGTGTATCTGGATTCGTATCTGCATGAGAGGGTAGTATTCAACCTCCTTAAAATAAAACAGGCATCACGACTTACTTGGCCACTGCCAGGAGGACGTGAGGATCGTGTTCACACTTCTTCAGAGCGTCCACGCTCTTGGTCTTCCGCTGAGGCCTGGCCTCTAAGAAGATGGCTTCCGACCACAGGATTCCTAAAAGGCAGAAGAGGCAGAAGTCAGAACTGATCCAGGAAGGGGGTCTAGGACAATTTGCCGCAGCCGATTCGCCATGGTCAAGGGAAGGATAATTTCCTCAGCCGCGGCAGGATTTACAATTGATACGACCTATAACTGTAATAGGCAGGCTCCATTGTGGTCCTGTGTTGAGAACTACCTGTACTTTAAAAAAAGAGGGGGGGGGGGAAATAAATGAGTAGAATGGAATGGAACAGAGAACTAGAATAGAATAGAATAGAATAGAATAGAATAGAATAGAATAGAATAGAATAGAATAGAATAGAATAGGAGAACTGGAATGGAACGGAATGGAACAGGAAAGGGAAAGGGAAAGGAAAAGGAAAAAGAAAGGAAAAGAAAAGAAAAGAAAAGAAAAGAAAAGAAAAGAAAAGAAAAGAAAAGAAAAGAAAAGAAAAGAAAACAAAACAAAAGAAAAGAAAACTGGTATAGAATAGAGAACTGGAATGGAGTGGAATGGGATAGAATAGAAGTTGGAAGGGAACTCGGAGGCCTTATAGTCCAACCCTTGCTCAGGCAGAAACCCTGTACCATTTCAGATAGTTATCTAATCTCTTCTTAAAAACTTCCACTGTTGCAGCACCCACAAGTTCTGGAGGCAAGTTGTTCCACTGGTTAATTGTTCTCACTTTCAGGAAATCTGTCTCAGTTCTAGATTACTTCTCTCCTTGATCAGGGTTCATCCACTGCTTCTTGTCCAGCCTTTCTGATGCCTTAAGACAAGGGTCTTCAAACTTCACAGTTTTAAGACTTGTGGACTTCAACTCCCAGAATTCCTCCTCCAGTCATGTTAGCTCAGGAATTCTGGGAGTTGAAGTCGCAGGTCTTAAACTTGCCAAGTTTGAAGACCCCTTGCCTTAAGAGAATAAGTCAATCCTCTTTTCTTTGTGGCAACCCCTGAGATATTAGAAGACTGCTATCATGTCTCCCCTAGTCCTTTTTTTCATCAAACTAGACCTACCCGATTCCAGCAACTGTTCATTGAAAGTTTTAATCTCCAGTCCCCTAATCATCCCGGTTGCTCTTCTCTGCACTCTTTCTTATAGTCTCAACATCTTTTTTACATCGTGGCGACCAAACCTCAACACAGTATTCCAGGTGTGGCCTTACCAAGGCATGGTAAAACAGTATTTAACACTTTGTTGTTAATTGTATTGTACGGTATTGTCAGGTTGAGCAAAGTTGCCAAACCGGAATGACGCCTTTCGTACCCGAATTGGGACACTCCTGCAGTGCTTTGGCCATCAAAGTGTTTGCAATGTTCTTCAGTCCAGCTCTGTACTCCAAACGCACCGATTCCAGCCTACAGAAAGACAAAGCACCTGTCAGCGTTCCAGCCAACCAACTCCAACCCAATAAACTCCGAGACGGGCATTTCCTCAAAAGTTCCGTTTTATTAGAGTTGTCATATTGGCACACCTGGGAAAACTCAAATCTGAGAGTTCTGGATTTTCCCTTCCCCAAGAGAAATTCAAAGATCCATCCCCTGCACCCATCAGTGGCCCAATCAAATCATCGTCCCAACTCCACACACTCCTCTCCAGGTGCAAGGTAACTTGTCCTTGACTCTCGGAGAATGAATGTTGTTGAGTCTAATCTTCTACCTCACTATGAAATCCCACCCCTCCCAAATTCCCAGGCACTGAATGTGGCTGTGATGACCTGGGGCGTGGCACAAAAGCAACAAAGTCACAAAAGTAGGCAAAGTCCCTTTAATACCTTCCAACTTGGCCCCTAATGTCCAGTTAACTTCGGCTGGAGATGAAAACTCTCCCAGGAACAGGAGAGTTTAAGGGGAGGAAATTCAGTCCGAACCCAAAGTATATATAATTATAAATAAAAATCAACACAAACCACGCTGCAGCAATTAACAGGAGAGGGCAGGATAAGGAATTGCAGACTTCAAAGCCAACGAAACACACACAGATGGGGAGGATGCCAGAACCCAGATAAGCCTCGGCAAACCGATAATTCATGCTTTGCTTCCAGCAAGGTGCTGTGTGCAGCTTCCCTTTTTAAAACCTGTTTTCTCAGCTGCAGCTAATGAAGGGAATCGGGGCCTTTTCCTCCCCTGTAAGCCATGCAACTTACGTTGCTCCCTTCTCTGTTCCTCCCTGCGTGCCCTAGGATGAAGAGGGGGTGGGCCTGGTCTTCCTCTGAATGCCCTCTCCCTTGTTCTATCTCTCCCCTGCTCTGCCCAGCCGGACTGTGCCCTTCCCCAGTTTCTTCCACAGCCACCGGAGCCACACTCCCACTCCCTGTCAGCTGTTCGACCTCCCCCTCCGAATCAGATTCCAACAGGGGCATGACAATGGCAGCCTCAAAGCTTCTAAATAAAAAATGGCTCCCAAGGCTGACAGCACCAGGTTTTAGCTAGGAAAGGTGGAAAGGTGGAAAGGCTCCAGGAAGGCTTTCCTCAAACCTTCATAGGGGTTTCCTTCCTTTTTCGTTTTAGCATTTTATTTTACAGGTAGTCCTCAACTTACAACAGTCTGTTTTGTGACCGTTCAAAGTTACTACGGCATTGAAAAATGGGAGCATTTTCCACACTTATGACCATTGCAGAATCCCCATGGTCCCATGATCAAAATTCAGACGCTTGGCAACTGACTCATATTTATGACGGCTGCAGTGATCTTCCAGGTCATGTGTTCCCCTTTTATGACCTTACAAGCAAAGTCCATGGATTCACTTAACAACTGTGGGACTAACTTAACAACTGCAGTGATTCACTTAACAACTGTGGCAAAATGTGACATGGGGCAAAACTCAGTCCACAAATGTCTCGCTTATCAACAGAAATTTTGGGCTCAATTACAGTCGTTTAGTGGAGGGCTACCTAAGCATTTTATTCAGGAAATTAAAATACAAATGGGAAAAAATAGAAAAAGGAAAAAAAATTTTTCCAAACGAAGTAGATAAAACGTTAAAAAAACATGTGCATTAGAAAGAACAAAAAACCAAAACACACACACACATATATATATATATTGTCCTGTGTGGTTGAATACTGATAAATATATTGCAGCAATATTACTTTCTCCCCCTTGTAAAGCAAGCTTGCAATTTATCAACTTCTCTATCTGGTGAACAACCAACTTGGCCTGTCCTCTATCTACTGTATGTAACAGGTAATTGAACAGTGGCTGCGCAGTGGCTCCGAGATTAAAGATACTGAGTTTGTCAGCTGTAAAGCTGACCGCCCGGGTTTGAGATCCGAGCACCTTGAGATGGGGTGAGCTCCAGTGGTGGGATTCAAATATTTTTACTATGGGTTCTGTGGGCGTGGCTTGGTGGGTGTGGCTTGGCTTGGTGGGCATGGCAGAGGAAGGATACAGCAAAATTCCCATTCCCTCCCCACCCCACTAACCTGCTTTCCAGCTCCGTTCTCCTCTGCAGGGCAACCAAAGAAGACCCAGCCAATCAGCTGGGACTCAGGAGGCAGAGAATAGATGGGGGCGGGGCCAGTCAGAGGTGGTATTCCAAACTACTCAAAATTTCCGCTACCGGTTCTCCAGAACTGGTCAGAACCTGCTGAATGCCACCTCTGGTGAGCTCCTATCGTTACCGCAGCTCCTGCCAACCTAGCAGTTCGAAAGCATGCAAATGCGAGTAGATAAATAGGCATCACTTCCACGGGAAAGTAAGAGCGTTCTGTAACATCATGCTGGCCACATGACTGTCTTTTGGACAGTGCTGGCTCAATGGCCTTAAAACAGAGGTGAGCATCGTTCCCTAGAGCGGGGGTCTCCAACCATGGCAACTTTAAGCCTGGTGGGGAATTCTGGGAGTTGAAGTCCTCCAGGCTGAAAGTTGCCAAGGTTGGAGACCCCTGCCCTAGAGTCAGCAATGGCCAGTGGAGTAAAAATGCCCAGGCGAAGTTAAACTTCGAAGTCTTCTGTTAATAATCTATTATTGTATTTAACTCTATGAAAGTCTGCCGCGGCTTCTGATCGACAGTAAAATGTCCTCTTACCACAAATCTTGGTTCTTGGGATTCTTCAGACGAGATTTCTCCAGGATGGCTCTGGCTCGGGTGAGCTGACCGACCTTCTCCTCCAGTCTGGACAGCAGCAGCCAAAGAGGGATTGAACCAGGGCATTTTTTCAGCTGTTGGGAAGTAAAGACAGAGAGAAAATGTTGTACAGGTAGTTCTCAACTTACCACCACCGTTGCAGTGGTGGGATTCAAACATTTTTACTACTGGTTATGTGGGCGTGGCTTGGTAGGTGTGGCTTGGTGGGCGTGGCAGGGGAAGGATGCTGTAAAATCTCCATTCCCTCCCCACCCCACTAACCTGCTTTCCAGCTCTGTTCTCCTGCGCAGGACAACCAAAGAAGACCCAGCCAATCAGCTGGGACTCAATGGGAGGCAGAGAATAGATGGGGGCGGGGCCAGTTCTCCAAACTACTCAAAATTTCCGCTACCGTTTCTCCAGTACTGATCAGAACCTGATGAATACCACCTCTGCAGCGTTCGTTTAGTGACCATTTGGCACTGGAAAAAAAGGGGACTTATGACTGGCTTATGGCCGTTCCAGCATCTCCATGGTCACATGATTAAAATTTAGACACTGGTTTGAATTTATAGAATAGGATAGAATAGTATTTTATTTTTTTCTTTATGTACACTGAGAGCATATACACTCTGTGTGTCTAATCACACTTGGCCAATAAATAATTCCTATTCTATTCTATTCTATTATTCTATTCTATTCTATTCTATTCTATTCTATTCTATTCTATTCTATTCTATTCTATTCTTTTTCTATTCTATTCCATTCCCATATATTTTATTCTTTTTCATTCTATTCTATTCTATTCTATGACGGTTGCAGTCCCTCTTGGGACCTTCTGGAGAGCAAAGTCACTGGAGAAACCAGATTCTCTTAATAATTCTGTTACTGACTTCATAACTGCAATGATTCCTCAACATAGGAGCTAGTCTGTTATGGGTAATCCTCGACTTACGACCACAATGGAGCCCAAAATTTCTGTTGTTAAGTGAGATGTTTGTTGAGTCAACTCTGCCCCATTTTACGAACTTTCTTGCCACAGTTGTTAAGTCAATCACTGCAGTTGATTAGTATCTCGGTTTTTAAGTAAATCTGACTTCCCCTATTGACTCGGCTTGTCAGGTCGTAAAAGGGGATCGTGTGATCCCTGGACGCTGCAACCGTCATAAAGGTGAACCAGCTGCCAAGCATCCAAATTTTGATCATGTGATCGTGGGAACGCTGCAAAGGTCGTAACTGTGAAAAATTGTCATAATACGGCAGTTTTTTTTCAGTGGTGTTGTAACTTTGAACAGTCACTAAACAAACTGTTGTAAGTTGAGGACTACCTGTATTTAAACTTTCTGGCAAAAAAAACCCACATTCATTGTGAACATTGAGTTCACTTAATGACTATGGTGTTCTCTCAATGACCACCATATTTGTTTATGATTGCTACATTCACTTAAGGACTTGGGTATGTCTAGTTTGATGAAAAGAAGGACTAGGAGTGACATGGTCACGTGAAGTATTAGTATCACCTTAGTAAGGCCACACCTGGAATATTGCATCCAGTTTTGGTCCTCACATTACAGAAAAGATGTTGAGACTCTAGAAAGAGTACAGAGAAGAGCAACTAAGAGGATTAAGGGGCTGGAAGGTAAAACAAATGAAGAACGATTGCAGGAACTGGGCATGTCTAGTTTAATGAAAAGAAGGATTAGGGGTGATACAATAGCAGTGTTCCAGTATTTGAGGGGCTGCCCCAAAGAAGAGGGAGTCAAGCTATTCTCCAAAGCATCTGAGGGCAGGTAAACGTGGAAGGGCAGAGCAAAGTAACTTGAATATTGCTAATTCATGAACATTCATGCTTATATCATAAATTACTTATGTATGACAGTTATCATTTTCACCTTTGGGACAACCATGACCTGGAGGGCGGAGGATCTCTACAGACTTTTAACTATACAATTTGGGTGTCAACTCATAAAATATTTCTATGGTCTGTTTAGAGCTGCCAACAGAAAGGGAGGGGGGAGCAGTGCAGCAGCTTGGCAACCAAAAGTGCATTCCATAAATAAGTTTTCAAAGATAGTAACAAGGTGGCTGAAGTTTCTGCTGCGCAAAATTCTACCTGGAGAGCCTGATTGATGACTCTGGGCTATGGATGTGTCCCATTGGAGAATATGAATTACAATACACCCAGGGCGTGGGGGGAAACCAGGGTCAAGGGTGACAATGAATGATGTGTCTCAGAGTCGGCTACACCCAGGCAGTGCCGGACCTTTGAACTCCCAATAAATCCTTTTGGAAGTTTGGCTCGAGACTCATAATTTAATTGGGGTTACGTGCTGGAATCCTGACAGCAGGACCAGAAGCCATGGGTGGAAACTAATCAAGGAGAGAAGCAACCTAGAACTAAGGAGAGTGAGAATAATTAATCAGTGGAACGACTTGCCTCCAGAAGTTGCGAATGCTCCAACACTGGAAGATTTTAAGAAGAGATTGGACAGCCATTGGTCTGAAAGGGTATAGGGTTTCCTGCCTAAGCAGGGGGCTGGACTAGAAGACCTCCAAGGTCCCTTCCAACTCCGTTATTCTATTCTATTCTATTCTATTCTATTCTATTCTATTCTATTCTATTCCATTCCATTCCATTCCATTCCATTCCATTCCATTCCATTCCATTCCATTCCATTCCATTCCATTCCATTCTATTCTATTCTACTAGCCACACACGGAGATAAATACATTTTGAGACAGCCCGCGATCGTCTCAGAGAACGGGAGAGGCTTACTCCTTGATTATAAGCATCCCGGGCTTTCTCGATCAGCTCCTCCTGCTCTTCGATCTGCCCTTTCATCATCCAGAGCTTGGGGAAGTCTTCATAATGCTTCAGGGCTTCCTCGCAGAGTTCCTGGGCCGCAGCAATGTTCCCAAGCACCCACTCGAGTTTGACGGATTTCATGAAGACCTGGAGGAGGAGGAGCGAGGACCCTTGACCTTTGACCCTAATCCAGGGGGGAACCCCCCCCCAACCCCACCTTCCAAGACTCTTTAGATCCTTGCACACGCTCGCCAGTGGTCCTGAGGACAACCACTCGGCTGCACAGCGTCTGCTCCACCGCTGACTGTAACAGCCTAGCAGCTGGTTTCAAGTTGCTCCTTAGCCACCCCCCAGCTCTTAGAAAGGAAAAATGGGAAGATTGTAAACTATAGATATGGATTTTGATCTGCTTAGCAATGTTGTGCGGGGGAGGGGGGATGAGAAAAATTGGACTAATAACAAATTAATGGTAGTAGTTATAGCATGGGAGTTAATTTGCTCAAGTGGTTAAAGCACCAGATTAGAAACTCTGAGATCTAGTCTTGCCTTAAGCATGGCACCCAACTAGGTGACTTTAGGCCAATCACCAGGAGACTGAGAGTTCTAGTCCCGCCTTAGGCATGAAAGCCAGCTGGGCATGAAAGCCACTTTGGGCCAATCACCAGATGACTATGAATTCTAGTCCCGCCTTAGGCATGAAAGCCAGCTGGGTGACTTTGGGCCAATCACCAGGAGACTATGAGTCCTAGTCCTGCCTTAGGCATGAAAGCCAGCTGGGCATGAAAGCCACTTTGGGCCAATCACCAGATGACTATGAATTCTAGTCCTGCCTTAGGCATGAAAGCCGGCTGGGTGTCTTTGGGCCAATCACCAGGAGACTATGAGTTCTAGTCCTGCCTTAGGCATGAAAGCCAGCTGGGCATGAAAGCCACTTTGGGCCAATCACCAGATGACTATGAATTCTAGTCCTGCCTTAGGCATGAAAGCCGGCTGGGTGTCTTTGGGCCAATCACCAGGAGACTATGAGTTCTAGTCCCGCCTTAGGCATGAAAACCAGCTGGGAGACTTTGGGCCAATCACCAGGTGACTATGAATTTTAGTCCCGCCTTAGGCATGAAAACCAGCTGGGTGACTTTGGGCCAATCACCAGGAGACTATGAGTTCTAGTCCCGCCTTAGGCATGAAAAACAGCTGGGAGACTTTGGGCCAATCACCAGGAGACTATGAATTGTAGTCCCGCCTTAGGCATGAAAACTGGCTGGGTGTCTTTGGGCCAATCACCAGGTGACTATGAATTCTAGTCCCGCCTTAAGGCATGAAAGCTGGCTGGGTGACTTTGGGCCAATCACCGGGAGACTTTGAGTCCTACTCCCGCCTTAGGCATGACAGCATGGCCACTGATAAGAATTCTGGGAGTTGAAGTCCATACTGCTAGAAAAGGCCAAAGTTGGGATATACTGAACCGAGCAGATTGGCTGAAAACATAGCTCTAGGCCTTAACGACTGAATTCCTTTCAACAGATTTGCCTTCTCCCAGAAGAGTGGACTTACTCTAGCCGTTGGGGCACTGCTACGGGCCTTGGCCAGCAAACGCCTTGCTCGTTCGTATTCGTTGTTTTCGGATTCCAACTTCACGGCAGCCAGCCAAATCTCTTCACTGTTTGGATTGGCCTGAAAATATAAGTCAAAGAGAGAAAAAGTCAGGAAAGAAGTGTCAGAAAAATTCCCTTTCATGGATTGTATGTATCAGCTGAATCCTCCACTACTTCGACGCTGTTCTTCGTGGCACTTTGTGCTAGCTGAATATCATGAGAGCCTAAACATCACATATCATGGTCTGGAGGTTAAGGCACCAGATTAGAAAGCAGGAGGGCTGAACTGTGGGGTCCTTGGTGCTTAATATATAAATGTATATAAATAATAACTTCCTTTATTTATCGTTGTTATTGCTATTATTTCATCTTCAATTTGATTCATAGTCTGTGGACTGGTAAAAACTTTAACAGTTCAGGTCCTAACCAAGGACCTAAGAATTGTTAAGGTAACATCTAAGTACCGTATTTTTCGGTGCGTAAGACACACTATTTTCCACTCCCAAAAGTGGGCGGAAATGTCTATGCGTCTTATACAGGAAATACTGCCGAAGCCCCGCCCACCCCGCCGCACCCTTCGGCCTCTGCCTCCCAGCTGTTTGCCTCCTGGCAGCAAACGGCAAACAGCCTGTTTCAGCTTCAACACAGCCTGATTAACACAAGCAGCCGATTGTCGGATGGTTCGGCCTCCCGACGATCAGCTATTTCAGGCTGCAGGGATTGCCATCACCTATTGCTGCCTCTGCGCGCCCCATTTTTGGCCTCCGCGCTCCGTTTTTGGCCTACGCGTGCCCTGTTTTCGGCCTCTGCATGCCCCGTTTTCAGCTCATTCCGGGTGGCGGGGGTTCACAAAGGGCGGGAAAACGGGGCATGCAGGCTAGGGAATTCTGGGAATTGACGTCCACGCTTCAAGTTGGTATGGCTGAGAAACAGTAAAGGCGTCCAACCGTCTGCCCTATGCAGGAAAGCTGCGGAATTCTGAGGGTTGAAGTCCACACCTCTTCAAGTTGTCAAGACTGAGAAAGACGGCTAGAAACATTTAGCCCTATGTTCCAAAGCAGTCGTGTCAACTCGTAAATCTTTCCTATGCCTGGTTCCGAATTGCCATAAGAAAGGGGCGGGGGGAGGCCTGAGGGAGCAGCGCAGCGGGTGAAGGCCAGAAGCACATTCCACACTTATCTTGTGGAGATTGTAGCCTAGGATACTGGATCGTCTACCCTCGAAAATCCTTCCTTGGAGAGTGTGATTGAGGACACCCAGCCCGTGAAGGTGTTTCATTGGAGAATCTGATTTAATGACACACCCAGGGAGGGTGGGGGAGAAACAGGATCGTAGCTGATAGTAAATTATGTGTCTCAGAGTTGGCTTCATATGGGTTAGTGCCGGACATGTTGCTCCTAATAAATCTTTTGGATTCTTTTGAAGCTTGGCTCGAGGCTCGTGATTTCATTCGGGCAATCGTCGGAACCCTGACACTCACCTGGAAAGCCAAGGCCAGAATGCTCCTGGCCGCAGGGACGTCTCCGGCCAACCATTTGGATTTTGCCCCCATGAGCCACAAGACCTCAGCCTTGGGACAGTGAGCCACCGCCCTTTGCAAAAGAGCTTCCAACGATTCCCTGAAAATAAGACAGAAACCCGAGGAAATTAGAATGCAAATGTCCGGGCTTCTAACGTGTGATTTTAAATTTAAAGAAGCAATACCGGTGGTCCTCGACTTACACCAAGTTCGTTTAGTGACCGTTCTGAAAATTACAACGGTGCTGAAAAAAGTGACTTAATGACCATTTTTCACACTTATGACTACTGCAGCATCCCCAAGGTCGCATGATCAAAAATTCAGACGCTTGTCAACTGGTTCATATTTATGACGGTCACAGTGTTCCAGGGTCATGTGATCCCCTTTTGTGACCTTCTGAAAAACCAAGACAATGGGGAAGCCAGATTCACTTAACAACCATGTTGCTAACATGACATCTGCAGCGATTCACTTAACACCTGTGGCAAGAAAGGTCACAAAAAACGGGACAAAGCTCACTAAACAAATGTCCCACTTAGCAACAGAAATTTAGGACTCAATTGTAAGTGGTAAGTCGAGGCCACCCTAAGCATTTTATTCAGAAAGTTAAAATACAGTACTAATTGGAAAAATAGAAAAAGGGGAAAAATTTCCCAAAAGTAGACAAAACATTTTTTAAAATGTGCATTAAAAAAAGACCAAAGACCAAAACGCATACACATATATTATCCTCCCTGGTTGAATATTGATAAATAATATCGAAGCAATATTAGTTTCTCCCCCTCGCGAAGCGGGGGCCGCAATTTATCAACTTTTCTCTTAGCGACGGAAATTCGGGACTCAATTCTCTTCGTACGTCAAAGGCTACCTGTATGCAATTTTTACAAGGTGTGCCCAGGGGTGGGATTCAAAAATCCCAGCAACCGGTTCGCTGAGAGCATGGCCATGATGAGCATGGCCATGGTGGGTGTGGGAGTTTTTCGCCTTCCACAGTGTCCAGAGGCTTCCCTCGAGCCTCTGGGAGGGCGAAAACAGCCTCCCTCAGAAGCTGGAAACAGGCCGGTTTCCAAACTTCCGGAACTTTCCGGGAGGGCCATTTTTCACCTTCCCCAGAGTCTGGAGGCTTCCCTCGGGCCTCTGGGAGGGCGAAAATGGCCTCCCCCAGAGTCAGGAGGCCACTTTCGGAAGGCCCATTTTTTCCCATTTTTCTCTGTGTGGATCCTGCACTTACCTGCATCCAAAACGGGCCACGTGGAGACTCCTGGGAGGGGAGGGAGGGGCCAGCCAGCCGGTTCAATTACTGGTTCAACGAACCAGGTGTAAATTTAACATCCAGTTGGCTTGAACCAGTCCAAACCAGCTGAACCCCACTCCTGGATGTGCTACAGGCATTCGTTAGAGGCCGTGTCATGTTTAAGAATCTCACGGGCGATGACCAAAAAGGAGAGATTGTTTTGGACATCCAGAAGGGCCAAGAAAGTGACAATGGAGGAAGCCTCAAAGGCCCCGGGACGGAGAGGCTGTAATCCTCCAGGTGCATTTTTTTTTTGTCTTTAAAAACAGAGCCGTAGGAAAAAAAACCACCCTGAATCCGTTCCCCTCACGTGGAAACAAGTGAAGTGAAAACCATCGCCGGAACAATTGGCACAACCAGCTTTCTGAGGGGAAAAAATGTTTGTGAAACGGCACCCAGGGACGTACCTTGTTCCGTGGTTCTTCTCAAAATAAGCCGCTCGTAACCAGACGCTTTTCTTGCTGGGGAAAACTTGCAGGGCGTAAGCATAAATTGCCCTGGCACACTCCAAGGCATTGTGTGCCACACACTGTGGGGGGGAAAAAAAGACGACAGGTCGAAGAAGCCTTTTTTGAGTGACCTACCTCATAATCTTATCTATGCAGGCAGTCCTCGACTTACAACGGTTCATTTTAGGGACCGTTCGAACTTACAACAGCACTGAAAAATAGGATCTGTGGATGTTTTTCTACACTTAGCACCGCTGCAGCATCCCCGTGCTCATGTGCTTTAGAGTAGAATGAATGAGCTAGAAGGAACCTTGGAGGTCTTCTAGTCCATCCCCCTGCTTAAGCAGGAGAACTTATACGCGTGATGGTGAACCTATGGCATGCATGCAGAGCCATTTGTGCTGGCAAGTGAGCCGCATGCGAGCCGCAGGCAAATTTACCTCACTGCACATGTGCACGCCTCACAGCTGATTTTTCTGCTGGTTTCAGGCCTTTTTTGGCCTCCCAGAGGCTTGGAAAAAGCCTCTGCAAGGCTTTTCAGGAGGAATAGGCCTGTTTCGTCACTTCCTGTAATACCGAAAGTGACCAAATGGGCCTATTATTCCTCCTGAAAAGCCTTGAAGAGTCTTTTTCTAAGCCTCTGGTAGGCCAAAAAAGGCCACAAACCAGCCAAAAAATCAGCTGTGAGGCACAGTGCAGGTAAGGGGGTGACAGAGGGGGGATTGTGCGCGCATGCATCGGGGGCGTGGGGGGGTGCATTGCATTCTGAGTGCTGGCACGTGAGTGCGCACACGCTAATAGGCACGGAATTTTTGGCACAGAAGCCCCAAAAGGTTAGCCACCACTGACCTATACTATTTCAGATAGTAATTTCCCCCTGGCACCTTCAGGGCTGCCACAGCGGAGATTAGTTGGGCTGGAGGAACGGGAAGGTGCCGGGGGCGGAAATGGCTCCAGGGCTGACAGCTTATTTTCTTGCAGACATTTTGTTACCCAACTAGGTAACATCATCAGTCCACTTGCAGACAATTCATCCCGAGTCTAAAATTTTGGCCTCCATTTGGGTTGTAAGTAGGGGACTACCTATACACATCCACCAGAGACACCCGATCTAAATTGCAATTCAGAACTTCTTTGCTCTCATTGGAACAAAATGATGAAAAAAAATTTAGAGGTAGCCCCGATCCTAAAAAGGCAGACTGAGAGGTGTCAACTGATAAAAGTGATAACAAAAAAGTAGGAACAGCAATAAAGTCATATACCGCTTTACAGTGCTTTACAGCCCTCTCTAAGCGGTTTACAGAGTCAGCCCATTGCCCCCAACCATCTGGGTCCTCATTTTTACCAACCTTGGAAGGACAGAAGGCTGTGTCAACCTTGAGCCTGTCAGGATTCGAACTCCTGGCAGTGAGCAGACCAGCCTGCAATACTGCATTCAAGAGCCACAGTGGCGCAGTGGTGAGAATGCAGTACTGCAGGCTACTTCTGCTGACTGCCGGCTGCCTGCAATTTGGTGATTTGAATCTCACCAGGCTCAAGGTTGACTCAGCCTTCCATCCTTCCGAGATGGGTAAAAATGAAGATTCAAATTGTTGGGGGCAAGAGGCTGCGTCTGTAAACTGCTTAGGATGGGCTGTAAAGCACAGTAAAGCGGTATATAAGTCTAATGACTATTGCTATAGTGCTGTTCTAACCACTGTGCCACCATGGCTCCTGGAAGGAATAGGTAACGCAAGACAGGCTACAGCATCCCACCTCTTATTCTACCTCTTGGTCCTGTCCTCAGTTTCACACCTGAGGCCTTGCACTTACACTATCAGCATCTTCCATCCAGGTGTGCTTGCGATCTTCCTCTTCAATCCCAATCCCGATCACTGCTCTCATGATAGCTTGGCATGTGGCCACGCTTCCAGCTTTATCGCATTCTTCGGCATCCTGGAAAAAAATCATTTTGACGTGGCCTCAGTTCAGGGCAACGAAGGGGCAATTCCACCCAAACACACCCTTGCTGGAGAGCTTCACTCTGTTCCCTAACCTGGCAAGGCCCGTAACTGGTTGTTCTGCCCCCCTTGCCACTGCACTTTCACCCAAACGGAGGTGAGAAGCCAAGAATCTTAGAACAGGGGTCCCCATCCTTGGCAACTTTAAGATTTGTGGACTTCAACTGCCAGAATTCTGGGAGTTGAAGTCCACAAGCATGGCTGGCTGAGGAATTCT